GATGTCAGAATATATCTTTTAATTAGCTTCAATAATTGACCAGTTATTTGATAATTCAGGCCTATATTTTCAGTTGATAGTTTTGTCTTTTTGAAGCTGGATTTGACTGGATTTATCTACATTTTAGGTATATATGTTCACCATAGTTCCGTCGTCATGGGTAAATAATAACCAACTCTCATGGCCAAAAATTGATATCAAAAACTCTGACGAATTCGATGTTGTGGATTCCGTTGACCCATGTGCTGATAAAAAACTTCTTCTTCCTTCACTGGTAGGCTATTTTTTATATCCGGTTTTTCAACTTGGCAGCTCGCTATTTCTATGACCTTGTCGAAGTCGACTGTGATTTTTTCCTCGAATTTTTTTTGCATTATTAATGGATCGTCAAGTCCCATGATAAATTTGTCCCGTAAGACTACATTTAGCTCGGTTCCAAAAGCACACCTTCCAACTAAACATCTTACTCTCGCTGTCCACTGCTGAACTGTTTCAACTTTACTTTTAACGGGACTATAAAATTTATATTTCGACGCAAAAGCACTGACTGTGGACTTGAAATGTTTGTCACACAGTTCCACTAATTCCTCGTACTTTTTCTGTTCTGGACCTTCAGGAAGACAAAGACTATGAATCAACCTGTAGGCTTCTTCGTCGCATGCATTCAGAAGAATAGCTTTCTTCACATCATTTTCTGTTAACTTATTTGCAAGAAAAAATTGTCCCAATCTTGCTTCGAAAATACTCCAGTCCGAATTTTGAAGACAAAATTCTCGCACATTTCCGATCAACGTGGATGCCATCGTTTACTACTAGTTTATCGTTCTCGCGATTTACAAATACTTGTAGGTAGTATTTTTTTGTAATTTTATCATTTTTGTTTATCCTCGTCGCCAATATTTGCTATCAGCATTGAACCCGTGCGGAGCCGGTGCAAATCGCTACCACGAATTCCATGCATTCAGAAAGAAGAAGCGCAGCACATAATTCGATTCGAGGGATCGAAAGTTATTTTAAAGGAGTTACCTTTGATTTAGCATAGATCTGAGATATTTTCACAGACTTATCTGGTATCAAAACCCTAGCGTAAATGCAAGCTACATAGGCCTTCAGGGTTTCATCACAAAACCTACATAAATCTATCTTCTGAATTGGATTAGTGCACATATATCGATACAAGAAAGATTTGGATGTTGTGCTTTGAATTTCTTTCATTTCATTTCAATTTGTTTAGGAAGAATTTCATCCCAATTCACTGTGAGAATCCATAAATTTTGGATTAACAATTTAGTCGTTAAAGAAATAGGACACAAACATCCGATGGGATCATAAATGCGAGACAGGTCAGGTTAGTATATTTAGTTTAGTACAACACAAGTTGGAATAATCATCAAGCATCAAAGAGTTTTGATTGACATGATCTGAAGGCAAGTGAGAAATCAATTCCGAACGATTTGAAGTCCATTTTCTTAGGTAAAATCCTGCTGATTGAAGTAAAGATATTAATTGCGTTTGTAATGTACGGGTTTCAGTTGAATCAAAACAATACATACATATATCATCGACAGAAGTGCAATTTGAGAGAAATTTTCAAACGAGGAGAAACCTTTCTCGTTCTTGATTTGCTAAATGAATGAGCTTGCGCATTGCTAGAAATGGTTTTCAAAATATATTCTAATAACGGTTCATTGGGACTGAACCTCCAAATTTTTTTTAAATAATTTCATTGCTCTGGTGTTACCAGAGTCTGAGAAAACATGGACCTTATGTTGATAGTCATAGCCACAACTCCTTATCTGAAATGGAGCGAAAGTGCAGAAATATCCCGTTGAAGCTTAGGGTCAATCTGAAGTATTCTCTATATGAACCTGAATCTGTAGCAAAACATTTTTCTAAAAGGAGAAAACGACGAAGAGCTGGTGATCATGAATTATTAAATTTAATGTATTTATTCTTGAAAGACAATGAAACCATTTATCTTCCATTAACAGTATGAGTTGTAGTCTTCAGAAATATCTTTTCGCAATCATCTTCATATTTTGAAAAGGTTGAATTGATTCGGGCAACCTCTTCCAGATTACAATTTTTTTTAATAGAATCATCTAAAATGCGGTCGGTTTTGAAAAAAAAAATTGGTGGGATAATCACGTTTTACTTCACCCATCAAAAAATATCCACATGTTGTATTTATGGCTATAGGAAGATTATTGTCTTGCAGTTCCTTTTGATATTTGCGGAACGCGAATTTTTAGGGCGATCTATGTGAAGGGTAGAATTGTGTTTTAGAATTACATCGCGAACAGAAAGAACTGAATTTGCAAAAATGTAACGCGTGAGAACTGCTGAGGCAATTATAGCATAACTTGTTTTGTTTAACAAAAGGGAATCGTTCTTGGGGCGATTTATTTAAATATTGGGCACATTTATATATGAGATGAACAATGGTTTTGCAAGACAGAAAAGGACCATTATTAGCGCGGGTGTTCGAAAAATAAATAAGAAATGCTATTTCGTTGGGAATCTGCGGGAACATCTTTTGTCAAACGGTTTGATTGCCTACTACTCGAAGAGGCAATTGTTTCGTGAGTGGTACATTGTTTTTTCAGGAAATCAACTGATTGCATGAAGCTGGGCATATCACTTGAACCATGATTCTGTTTAAAACGAGAAACTGTGATAGGATCTGAACGTTTGAGAAGTATCTGTCCCACTGTGGGACAGAATATTTCATAATTAACAAATCAGCTATGTTTTCCGTGAATGTATCAAAGATTTTCCGTAATAATAACGAGTTTTCACCATGAATTGGAATAGCGGTTTATCTATGCAACAACATAATTGGAAGCAGTGAGTGGAAAGCACGTTCAATATCCGACAGCAGATCATTGTTATGTAATAATGCATGATCAATATCTATGAAGCAAGTTAACAACTAAATATCACCTGAGAACTTTGAAAGTTTCAACTCTGACAACTTGACTCTTAGTATTGTGTCTTTACGTTTAGATTGATCAATGGCACTACCGCGTTCAGAAAGCTCATAGTAAACAGCTTTTATTGAAAAGTACTCGTCATCTAATGTTTTTCTAATGATTTCTTCTTCATTGGAATCAGTAGCATCCTTCATAGTGCTGATAGCGGTAATGATAGATATATGATATTTTTCAAAATTCTCCGAGATTCTCTTGATATTTCCAAATCGTTGAAGAAATCTAGAATGAACTGACTCGTCCGTTTGAACCTGTATTGATACTTGGTAAAGCTAATCTATTTTATTAAATTCTATGAGACGTAAGACTTTTGCCTTTTTAATTTTGTCTAAAGTGGCCATTTTACGGATCGATATTTATTTTTGTAAATACGGACCTGGCGCTCGTAACGTGTAGTGCAAGATCCGATAAATAACAGAGCGGGTTTGCACAGTATATTAGATAGCTTGATAATTTAATTCAGGAAATGTTACTTAAAAGGCAATTTTTAAATATCGTGGATAGAAAGTCACGACGTTTCGATTGTTAGTATACATAATCGTCTTCGAGTGATAACTGGACTTATTCCTTTGAGATCCGACTATCTATAGGCCATTCGAGTGCTTCCACCTATCCCCTGTTCTCTCTCTCAGCTTCATTGGTTTAAGCGGGAGATGACCGTTGGCGAGAGTTGGTCGTTTTTCGTTTGATTAGAGGTTTCCATATGTTACGTTTCCCTACGCTAGCTTGACTAAATGCGTTGTTGGACAACATACACGCGGCTTCTTTGAATTTTCTCCTAAACCAGTGTTCCTCTTTGTGGCTGCTTTCAGCTTGAGCCCACTTGATGTTGTGTTGATGAGTCCAAACATGCTCTGCTATTCCGGATTTGCTGGTTTCTCCTCGCTGTGTGTGTTTCTTGTGCAATGCGAACTTCCAATGGCCTCTTAGTTCCACCAATGTATGTTTATCGGCACTCGCAGGGAATCTTGTAAATGCAATTCTTGGAATCGCAGTCCGCGTTTGGTGGCCTGGTTTTCGTGAGGCTGCTACGGATAGTGTTTCCAGATCTGAAGCAGGTTCTTATGTTATACTTGGACCCAATCCTCCGTATCCTTTCCGATAATACTCTGATGTAGGGAAGTACAAGTACTGGTTGTGGAGGCTTCTCTTCCTTGTGGAGCTCTTGCTTCTTCTAGAAGAGTCTTGATGATTTCTCTCTCAGTTGATTGATGGTGGTTGGATTTATGGTTCAGAAACCGTCCTGTGTGAGTGGGTTTTCGATATGCATATGTTTCCCATTTAGTATCGGTCCTCTTCACTAATACGTCTGAGAATGGCAATTCGTTCTGGACTTCCTCTCCCATTGTGGAAGTGATGGAAGGACTAACGTTGTTGATGTGCTTCAGGAATGTGTCTAGTTCTGCATTCCCATGATTCCATATTATGAAGATGTCATCTACGTATCTCAACCAGACTCGGGGCTCCTTGTGGGCTTCTTCAATGGCCAGAGTTTCAAGCCACACTATATACTTATATTAGCTATAAACGGTGAGAGTGGCGATTCCATTGGCAGTCCCTCATCTTGCGTAAAGAATTCGTCCTTCAGTTGGAAGTAGCAGTTTCGTACACATCATCCTAGTAATTTCATGATTCGGTAGGTTTGTTCTATCTTTCAGGTGCCCATCTTCGAATAGCTTCTTTTGTATGATTTGAAGTGCTTCTTCGACAGGAACGTTGGTTTGACTGTTGTTTGGTTTTATGTTATTCCTTTGTAATATCAGTTATTTTTTCAAATAAAATTGTTATTTTTGGTTGATCTTTCTGATACTTTTTCAGGGATTTCAAATCATTTTATATATTATTAGACAATGGAAGTCCCAACTGATGAAATACACCACAAAACATTGTCAACGACCTTCAAACAGACCAATAGTTATGTTCGATAAGAACTGTATTTACCGTATGTGAGTCGGTTGTTGGATATTTGAGAAAGATACAATTCAGAAATCAATAATGGACGACACCCACCTCATTTATTTCCGGAAAATCTCCTTGCCATCTGGTTTCACTTCCTTATATGTGATCGTGGGATAACCCGGTAGCAATCTTGAAGAAATCTTGAAGTATGTTGTTTTTGGCGGTAGATATTTATGATTTTCACTTTAGCAGAACACACGTCTTGCTTTCTGTCTTTACCATTCACGACTGTCCCTCCGACTTCCGGGTGTGTGTATAAAGCCAGTGTCACAAAAGATGAAATGTAAATATTAATAGTAATAAAAACTTTACCTAAAAACACATACAAGAAAAGGTGAATATCGAACAGTTGGCTGGTCTCAAACAACGAAAAAAATAGCAAATCATTTCTTCGGGAGGGGCTGAATCGCCGAAACTATAAAAGTAATATACTGAAACACTGCATTTACTGTATGCTACCCAATGCGTTCCCATACCATGTCGACTATCCAAATTGACTTACACGGATTTATTTCGATAAAGTCCTGCTTTTTTTGCAGAATACTCTTCGAAAATACGAAATCGTCATTTTCTTGGCATGATAATTGAGGCCGACGTGGTTATGCCAGCTGTTGCGCTAGCTAAACTACCCAGCGCTGATAATCCTTGCAAAAATTGATATGATCAGTAGAAATCCAATAATTTTTGGAATTGGTATTATTCGCGGTGTGCGAATTTCATTTATACCACCTGCAGCTTTAGTCGATTCACGTGTTGCTTTCAGCGTAATTTCAGTAGCCCTTTTCGAATTTCCAGTATCCCCTGCCTTGTGTAGAATATCACGCACTTTCTCGACAATTCCAGAACCAAATAACGATTCCAAATAATGTTTTTCAGTAGCACGCCTCTTCGTCTATTCACGGGACTTGCCTAACTGATACAATGCACATTGTTAAGCAGAAACATCATACTACCATGTATAACTTTCACGAAAAAGGGGAAAGTGGATCGGGAAATAGTGTTAAACAACGTCATGGTCCTATACACCCCGTTCGGAATCTCATCATTAAAACTTCAATTTGTAAAAAGATAGATGTCATGATTCATCCTCTTGAATTGCGAATTGCAAATGTTCATCTTCATTCAAAGTCTCTCTTTCAGCCCAAATATGAGTATTTACGTAAAGTACCAGCTCATATCAAAGGGTTGGGATTCTACATTTTTGCTGATAACGCGGTAGAAATAGTAGAACCATCGAACGCCAAACCCGATTCAATATTCATTTTTGATTGTGTCATGGGCGAGAAACACGACGTCATCCGATCATACTTCAGTATTGGTCGACATAAAAATGTGGATTGCATTCATCTGACCCAGACTTACTCTAGAATCCCGAAACAGTTGATTCGAAATAATTCAAATTTTATTGTGATGTTCAAACAGGATGATATGAATTCTAATCATATTTTTTCCTGGTGTGACGTACAACCAATTTCAAGACATGTGTGCGAGTTATGGGCGGATAAATATGGATTTTCAGTAACTGATAAAGTTAGAGAAGTATGAAAAGCGAACGTTATCGAAAAGGAGTTGATGCTTTCATATATCTTTGTTGCTCTTCAAAGAGTAGACTCAATCGCATTATAGATAGTTCATTATTACTTACGTGATATATAACGATACTTCATTAATCACAGTACCACACCCATAACGCTATGGAGGGTGAATACCATGACGAAATTTGTCTGAAAAGAATGTTTACTGATGCAACAGATTATTTTGGGGTTTATCCCCTTGAAATCAAACTCCAATTATTCTAAACAAGAAAAACTCTACATATCGGATGACAGCATAGTGTTTCGATTCGCCCAGTTCAAGAGGAGGTCGTTTGAATGAAATTTAAACAATAAACTTACCATCTTCTCCCTTTTTTAGTGTTTTCACAGAAGATGTCTTCACACTCCAGGTCTCCTCCCAAAACAACTGGTTCAGAATGAGGGGTAGAATGTATCTCCCAAAACTCTTCTAACTGAGGATGGATATCAATGAGGGTCATGTTACATCGAACAGTATTTTGTGCTTCATCAATTTGAGCAGACCTGACACCACCTATCCCATGTGAGTTTTCTGAAGAATTGGTTGGCCTCTTCGCAACTTGAACTGACCCATACACAACAAATCATAAAATACTTCTGCAATAAGAAGTATATCGATTTCTCCTGGATAGGCAAATCTAGGATCAACTAATTTATTATTGGTTGGAATATCCAAATGTTGAATATGACCTGACTTGGGATCGAATCACTCATTGTAGGAAAAATCAAACATGATATTTTCCTCTGAAAGTCATTTTAACAAGACTCAAACATGACGGTGTCCCTATGCTTGATGTTGGTAGCATCTTGATTTATACCAACGATCGAGATAGTGACAGGATATCCTGTCAACGGACTGAGATCCGTTGTCTAACAATGCCCTACAGCTATGGGAAACTCCATCTGCACTAAAAACCTCCAAAACTACCGTCGACAATAAGAACTCATCACTTCCAACACAAAATTCCTAGAAACTACTTACAGTACCATGATGTTGAGTATGGACATCATGATGCAACAGCGAATGATGTTGAGCTCTACACTGTCTGAATGTACCTGCATTACACTCCTTACTTGAATAATTAGCTTTTCTCAAACAGTTCAAACAAAGCCCTAATTTTTAAGCTTGATCAAATCTCAAATGTGATATTAGTTTCAGAAAATCGGGGCAATTCGTTATATAATGTTCACTATTACAAAACCCACAACATTGTCCTGATGTACCCAAGAATTTTTTATGAACTTTAGATTTCATTTGGTATCTAGACTCCATAATTTTCCGTTTAAACATTCACCTTTTCACACACCTTTTGTGCTTCTCTCTGAAGAGCACCTTCATGACACAACGTACCCAAGGTGACATTGAGGAGGCGTTGACCCTTGAACGACCTTAACCTACATCAAACTGCGACCCAGGCAGGGTGACTTTGAGGTAGTCTTTTGAGTTTGGCATTGAATGACCTTCATTGTTTGATGTGACTATTTTGCAGATTCAAGGATTCGACAATGAACGACCTGTAGCTTCTTGGATTCCAATTTAATTTTGGTCCGCTTCAATTTTTTAGTAATACCGATATTTTTCGAGAAAAAGAGGGGATACAATTTTATCATTGTATTATCACGTTTATTTTCGAATTAACGAGAAAAATTATAATGAACAAAGTTGTATAATATTGAATTTCCTACAATTTTGGTTCCAAAGATTTTTTTCATGGAATCGATATTTGGGTTTGACCTTGAATGCTTTTCATTCATTGTGCGTTCCCAGTTTGACTTTGAGTGACCTTTTGCGATATCATATGCCTTTGCTGAAGTGAGTCACGATGCAAGCACGTATAGAGCTAGGAGTGGGGATAGTGTGGAGCGCTAACACGACCACACCCAAATCATATAAAAGTCAAGTTGCAATCCAGAACCTCACACAGTATATGAGAACACATCAAGATGAATTCAGAATATATATCACTTCCTCTTCCACAATTCCCCAACATTGAGGGAATTGTGGAAGAGGAAGTTGATATTATTGGAGACGAGGCAGATATTGAAGTCGACGAAGATGCTCATGTCTTGGAGCATGAGGAGATCATAGAAGGGAATATTGTGAATGATGAGGGTGACCTAAGTGATGAAGGTATTGTGGCTAATTCATCTGAAGATGATGGTTCCTCAATGATCGGCATCCGATGGCTCAACATCACCGACACATTCGAAGATCAATTGGATCTGTATTGTGTGACAGATTCGCACGTACGAAGCAGAATGATCGATGACGGTATCGGAAAGTTATGTTGGTGCTGTTTCCGATTTTACTCGCTACGAAACAAAAACGGCAGCTGGTATCAACATACACACATCGGAAAAGTCTAGGGTTATTTTTAAAAATGGCAATAATTTTTTTTAGATCGCTTTAGGAAAAAAAAGTTGACGGGTGATTATTAAACGAATGTAACTAACAACTAAATTTATTAAATAGTCAAAAATACTGAGTGCGCATATAAGCAAAACTAAAAAAAATATGGCTCTTCTTTGGCACCCCGAAAAAAAATCAAAATACAAAAAAAATTGGAATCAGTACAAAGTATGGCCTCACCAATGGTATGTGATGGCGTTCCATGTTGAAGCACAATATTTCCAGTTTAATTTCTGAGCAAGAATTGTATAGAATGTACAAACTCGACACTTTCAGATTATTCATTTTAGCCGAAAACCTACAGTTTGTAAAAAACTTGATGAAAGATTAGTTACCGTTTTTGCAGGCTTTGTTCAACCCATAGAAATCTCCGGAGTGGTCGAGTGTACCAATTTAATCGAAATTAAACGACCTCATGAATTTATTTTTATGATATTTAGTATGTTATAAAAATATCCCTAGGCTTTTCCGATGTGTGTATAAACGTCTATGATGCGGTCTCTATAATGCAAATGGGTCAGAATTGGCGTGAGGCGTGTGAGAGGCCGCTCACAAATTTCACAAGGGTTTCAGCTTGCATGATATGCAATAGTGTCAAAGCTGTGACACATCAACCGTGGGCCTTCTGGTCAATAAAACAACATACCTTTTTAGGGCTACATAATACATAAAAACAGTAGTAGTGGTAGTGTCAAACCTGTGGCACACTTACCGTGGGCCTTCTGGCCAAGAAAACAGCAGCCCTTCTCAGGGCTACAATATTCATACAGACAGTAGTAGTTGTTGTAATGGTAGTATATGAAACGAGCTATTCAAAATATAGTATATTGAATAGCTCGTTTATTTTCAATTTAACATGAAAAATAGTTATGACAAAAGTTGTACGAAATTGCATTTTCTACAATTTTGACATCGGTCAATTTGTTCGTAGGATCGATATTTTTCGATTCAAACCCGAGAAATTGATGGGGTAAGATCGTATTATTGTATTATCACGTTTATTTTCAATTTCACGCGGGAAAGTTGTGATGAACCAAGTTGTATAAAATGAAATTTCGTATGATTTTGGTTACATCAATTTTTTCTTGGGATCGATATTTGGATATAAACTTGATTAACCTTCATCCACTCCCCATATTTTCGATAAGGTAACTTCGACTTCGAATGAACTCGAGTCAGTTGGTCGGCTTGAAGTTTTAAACCAGCACGGCGTTTCGAGTTTAACCTTGAACAACCTTGACACACGCCACACGACGCACGCAAAGTGACTTTGGGGTAGTGTTTTAGGTTTGACATTGGATGACTTTCATTGTTCGATGCGGCTATTTCGAAAATTTAAGAATTCGACGTTGAACGATCTTCAGCTACATAGACAAATGGGCTTTGGGAGTGAGTTCCCAGTTTGACTTTGAGTGACCTTTTGCAATATCATATGCCTTCGCTGATTGAATGACCTTCATTCACTCCACATGTTTTCGAAAAGGTGACTTTGACCTCGAATGAACTCGAGCCAGTTACGCGGCTTGAAGTTTTGAATCTACATGGCACAACGTACCTGAAGTGACATTAAGGAGCAGTTTCGAGTTTAACCTTGAAACGACCATGACCTACGTCACACGGCGATGCAGGCAAGGTTACTTTGAGGTAGTGTCTTGAGTTTGACATTTAGTGACCTTCATTGTTTGTTGCGGCTATTTTGAAGTTTTAAGGTTTCGACATTGAACGACCTTCAGCTGCTTGAATTCCCTACAATTTTAGTTCACATACATTTTTTCGTAATATCGATATTCTTCGATTCAATCCCGAGAAAAAAATGGGGGAAATTTTATCATTATATCATCACGTTCATTTTCGATTTTACGAGAAAAAAATGTGCATCTTCAAATGTTTCAATAGAGCTCAAAAGCAAATTTTAAAAAATGCAGCACACTTGATGTTTTGCTAAAGTCATTTTTGAAATACAGATCTTATGGGTTGTTTCATGTAGACTTTTGAAACGCACACTTTGATCGAGTAGGTACCAGATGTTGAGAAAGCTTATCACAGCACTCTTTAAAATGCATAGTTTCAATAAAACTAATAACAATTTATACTTTATTTACTAGTGATGAATGAAACTTCAACAATAATAATAATAATAAAGAACAAACAATGAAATATATTTCCTCAGAGGAGGTGTTTGAAATGTCTGTACAGCTTCCCCTACACACTCGCGACACCTCTTCTGAACGTTTTTTGCCGAATTATTCAGTTCAATAGAAGTGAGAGAATCAAAACTTTGCATTACTACTGCTTCCGATCCGTATCGCGAATTGGTCGGTAAAATAAAAATGAGATCTTTCAACCTTCCCCAGAGGTGAAAAGTCCATAGGCGTTAGGTCCGGACGCTATCAGTCGCATCTAATACTAGTAATAATAATAACAATACAAACAATAGTTGAGATTTATGGTGTTTGTGTCATTATCTTGAGGAGTGAGTTTTTGAATTTCTATGGTAATTTCAAACATATCCAAGCTCGCTTCTTATATTCAAAGGAATTATCTCGAGCTTCCATATATTTTGATGAAATGTTGTTTGAAGGAAAACATTTTGATAATTTTTGAGAGGAATTGGGAGTCTAAAGTGTATTTTTCCAATTGAATATAATTTCTTGTATCAGAAGAAAGAATTATTTTGGCGTACATTTAAAAAAACGATTGAAATTTATTTGTGGAAATATTATTGAAGTCTGAAATTATTCGTTATATTTTATTTAAACTGTGTTATTTTCAAAGTTCATCTTATCCTATTATCGATGCAGCTTGAATTGAACTTTTTCAAATGTTCTTTCATAATTTCTTCCTGATAAAGCATTCATTCAAAGAGAGCCACTTCATTTGTTATCAAAATATTCCTATAAATTGTTTCATAACCATTTCACATGATTCAGCTCTCTGAAAATCTACCAGCTTCAGACTTGGTAAGTCACACGAATAATTTCTCTATATTGTTTATTCAAAGATTAGTATATTATACCAGCATTTTTAAGTCCAGTAATAATCAGAGTGATTTCTTCATAATGAGGGTCATATGCTTCAGTCAAATATCTCAATCGATCAACCAAAATACTCGGATTCTCCTACTCCAAAATATTGAATGTTTCAGATTGTTTCTCCAACGTCTCTTTACGTGGCGGCGACCTGGTTT